CCCCCCAATAAATTTACTGTGCTTAATAAAGGGGGAGAAAGTCTAGTTTTGCGGAGATTTTTAAATAAAATCTTAGGTTTTACATGCAAGTATATGTCAAGTTTATAAAATCTGCGCCAATCCAAGTTTTCTTTCGCTTAATCTAGCAAGCTACTATAACTGGTTATGTTATAAACTTGCAGACAACGTGGTAGATAAACCAAAAGAAATTACACTAATATATAGCGTTCTGTGATGAACTGAGCTTACGAACATGACTTATGCAATAATATACAAGTCATAAATAAGAACTTTTATATTGTAAATGATACATTTGTTAAATATAAAACATATTTATCATAAATTTCATAAAGAAAACTATTTGAACATACAGTTTTTGGGCTCTAGTTTAGAATTGGGTGCCCTTTCGATTAGCGACAATTTTAAAAAAATGTTGGCGATGAAACCTCACTTCTGGTTACCATGATAGTTTTAAGTTTGTTTTAGCTTCCTGCTTTTATTTAAATGAAAATAGATTGATGTGTATAGTGCCATCAATGGCATCAAAAGACCAAGAGTCACCCAAGTAAACTTTTACCAGTTTTTGTAGAAAATATGTATGGTAAAGTTTTTTCCCCCCTTTCTTTTAAGAAAACTTTTTGGTACACTAAGCTACTCTAATACATGATTTTTATACAGGGGCGTAGCTAGAGGGGGGCAAGGGGAGACACCTGTCCCCGGGCTCAGAATCCAAGGGGTGCCAAATTGATGTTACGACATTTTATAATTCAATGTTTTCCATCCTTGGCAAGCAGTAGGGGGCGCGAAATTTTCACTTGCCCCTGGAGCTGAAAACCCTAGCTACAACTCTGTTTTTATATGTGTTTTAAGGTTAAATATGTAAATGTAGTTCAGCAGGACATTCATGGGTCCCTATGCAACTGCATTCCTTACATACCCTTATTTACGCCACTGCTTGTATCTTGATTTGAGGATTGTAAAACAATTTTGGGTTAATCTTCGGATTATGGTAACTTAGCAATTTTTTCGCGAAAATTTGGCGACCAACCCTGCTACAGCAACCTGCTAGTTTTTTTTTTTTTTTTTTTTTTTGACGCCATTTTGTTTTCACGAAGTAAAGGCTTTTTTTTTTTAACACAACATTTTTTTTCCAACAATCTGCTAGGTGAATTATGCTCATGCTAGAACTTTTATGGAACAAAAGTGCTTAATCATAACGAAGATTAGGTGCTAAATTGGGAGAAAGTGCAGAATCGCCCACTGCTTGCTGCGTTTTTAAGAATTGCACATACACGGTATCATCCATGTACACGTCGACCTATTTTCACTTAAAAAAAATCCCAGAATTGCACAAAAATGGCATTGCGCACACTCTTGACTTTATCGATGTACACTGCTAAAGTCCTAGCTAGTAACATTTATCGCCTTAGCAAAATGTCGCCAAACTACCTGTTACCATATTCCAAAGATTAGCCCAATTTTGTTTAGGAGCTTGGCAATTAAAAACTGATAAAAACAAGCATCTGTGACGACATTAAAATAAAACTGGAAGAGCAGGTTTATTGTATGCTGTATTATGGGGTATAGAAAATTTTATTGATACTGTATTATGCCTTTTAGAAAATGCTTGATTTGGAATCAGACTTGGATTTTCTTAAATGACAGGTTATCACACAATATCTAATTTTAGTGTTTGTTGGCACCCTTCTAAATTTAACTCGGACACAACGATTTAACACTTCTAAATTGAATTATTGACTCAAAATAGATTATTTTTCAACTGAAATAGCAAGATTTTAGCAAGCAAGTAGAGAAAAAATTATTTAGAGTATAGCTTTAATTTCTATAATGTGCAGTTTTTTCCCATAGAGTGTGTATGCTTAACCTAATGAATAGCAAGTCTTTATGGATTTGTTCATGAACAGCTGCATTTAATCAGAATTTAACAGTTAGATGTTTGTAAATCTTTATTTATTATTTATTTATTTTTTTTAAGTATACATAATGTTTCATTCATAAGGTTTGGTTTGGCTATTTGAATATAGCAAAGAAAATTGTATATATATATGTAGCAAAGCCTCTAATATTTGAATATAATATGCCTAAAAGGAGAGATTGCTTCTTAGATGACATACTGGGGAAAATTTTATCATATTCACATTAATGAGGAAAACCACAAAAACCTCATTCGTAAAACTAGTCAGATCGTTAAAAAAATGAGAAATATTTTGTGTAACAAAGCAATAAATACCAAGTAACAACAAATCTGATGACTGGATTTAAGCAGTCATAAAAGTCATTTAAACAGTCAATAAATTCCCTCTATTATACCTCCAAATAGCATTCATGCAACTTGGAGGTTTAATAGAGGAATTTATTTTCAAATATCTCTATCATTAATGCATGATTTAAGGGCTTATGATAAACTCTGGATAAACATTATTAAATGATTGCATTTTAGACTATTTTTACCTGTGCTATTACTAATGCAATATTTTTTGGGAGGAGAGAAACATCATTACATTAGGAAAGATGTTGAAGTAACAATAGAATTTTTATTTCCACTGAAGTTGGATACATTAAATGTGCATTATAACTGTTGTATGATTAATTAGTCTGTGTGTTAAGAACAACAATGAAATGTTTGTATGCTTTAAGACAGTTTTTGAATAAAATAGTGATACATTTATTGAAAATTATACTTTTATCAAGTGATAGTTTAAAAATATGTTGTATTAAATTAGAGGTATTTAAAAAAGGTTTAAGATAAAGCACAATTTTCCTTTAAATTGACATGATTAATTTCTGTGAACCTTCTGAGTGCTACAGCTTTTATAATCTACTCAGAAAGTCGTATGTTTAAATTATATTTATTAGCTAAATTTGTGTAATTACTTATTTTAGTTTCTATTTTCATAAACTTCCAGTCACTGATGGCATTTACATTGTTAAAGCAAGTACAAAAGCAAAACATTTTAAATTATAAGCTAATATTCAGCAAATGACATAAAATCTCATGACAAAATAGGCAGTCATGTCACTCAGAGGGATTAATCCTCAGTATCTTTTGAGTGACAAACATGCCATCTCTTACCAGATACATAACATATTAATTTATATTTTCACTAAATATCAATAAATTATTAAAATTCATACTAATCTGATTTCAGTTTTTCTTGTTTGTAAAGTTAGATTTAACACACATAGTATTGAAAGATCTGAACCAATCTTCAATTGACACTGCTATTTAAAATCCCTTTGTGTACCATATAGGTATTACATTATGACCACACTCCATCTATAACAATGGGCTCGAATATTGAAATCATATTTAAAAAATAATATTAAAATAAAAATATTTATTTTTTTGCTGTCATATTATAAAGTTTCATTTTGGCAACTTATTTATTCCTGACACATTTTGAATGCTATAAAGCACAATTTATGAAACAGTTCTTAGCAAAAGCTAAATTGGCTAAGTAATTAATTAAAAATGTCTTCTTTTTAATCATAGAGTTTTTCCCATGTAATTGTCTCAGAATATTCAGAATTCTCAGAATATGCATCAGTTTTCTATATAAAATTAATTATATATATATTTTTTTCAAAATATTTCTGGCTTTTTGCTGTTACAGAATTGATAGCGATAATTTTTCTTTAGGATTTTAGACACTGCAGCTTGGAAAGTTTAGAAGGATTTGAAGGCAGAGTTTTATAGACCCATGATTATAGAAGATTCCAGGAAATATGTGACAAAATCAAAAATGTCTCCATGGTATTAACACGTAATGGATGTATTTTACAGAATGTTTGCAGTGAATTTCTTACTTTTTGGAGAACGCCTTTAAGAAAAATGAAAACATAATATTTGAATGTTTTACTTCTGATACTAGAATCTTTTTCTTAACATGTTTATCTTCCCCTTTATTTTCTCTACTTTTCACTAGACACAAGCATGGAAAATATCAAAAATGCTTCTAATCTTATCACATAGACAGGTGTTATAGAAAGGAATTTTTTTATTAATAAAGGAATTGAAAACTGATAATTTAAAGATTCGTCTGATATGCCTTAATAATGCTAATGCATAATGCTTTCGTGGAGGACACAGAGCTGATGCTAAGCATTTTCCCACCTGATGCAATCTCTGTGGATCCTAAATTCTGCTCCTTAGTGCTTTTTTAAATTCTGCCTCCAATGTCTGCTCTAAATTCTAAAAGTTATGATATTTTTAGATTTTGTTGCTAGGTGTGTCATTAAATTCTAAAAATTCTGCCACGCCAGCTCTATAACCAGTCCTTACCATATATATTTCATATTTCTTCTGAATGTTCATGTTACCAAAGAAATAAAATTAGCAGCTTTTTCTATACATTCTAAATGCATACAGTTTCTTTAGAATAATATAAATTTTTAATTAAATCCAAAAATTCTAAAATCAAAAGGAAAGGTATGAAAATGAAATTTCTAAAATGAAAAGAAAGAAACTGAATGCATTAAGAAAATTATTCTTCAGTGATATGTACAGTTATTACTATGTAAATTATCCAATTATTTATGATTTCAGCCTTACTATAATTTCCAATTTCTGTTTCCTCATATGATAGCTACTGAGCCAGCTTAAATTAAAATAAATTGTATAGTCTTTGACCACTAGTCCACATTTTTACTTTAAATTTGATTGTTCTTAACATCACCACAAGCTGCAATTGATTTTGTTAGCATCAGAACATGACTTTATGTTCCAAGTTCTTTTTAAATAAGAGTCTTATTTAAACCTTTGTCTGATGTAGTTACTTTCAGACATAGGAATAATTTGCTTCATGTCTGTCGGGAGGTTTTGGACTATTTAACTTTTACTCCATTGAATAAACCTCATAGCTACATTATGAAGAGGTTGACAGTTTAGGAGATAAAGCATGCAGAAACTAGTGAGAACACTGGTTTGCATATTGAGACAAATTTCTGATTGTTAGAAAAGATGCTTAAAGAGAAGGAAATCTATGTAAATTAGCCAAAATGTCTGGGAAGGCCTCAAATTAAAAAGATGCGTAAATATTTTGTTGACTGTTATTGTTACAAAAACATAAATTTTTTGTAGTTTTTGATATGCAATTATCCTAATAGCATTTAAGAGTCAGTGTCATAAATTACATTTATTTTAAACTGTGAAATTTTATTAGATTGGGATTTTAATAGGGCATTTTTAACAAATACTGTAAAAATTAAATAAAATTTAATAGTGGCCATGTAAATCCATAATGACTAAGGTTATCTAACTTCATAATTTAATTATTTATAACTAACTGCTTACCCTTAAAAATTATCTCTGCATATTATTGCCTTTCATTAATCATTACCGTGGTCACAAGTTAAAATACAAAAATGTAAAAATTCATGTAAAACTTATTCTTTTCATCTAATGTGAATTCAAATAATAGGAAACAACTTATCATCTGTGATGCTTTAGTGGCTTATTGGAACCTTAAAATATATTAACTGGGTTACAATCCTTGGAACTCTACACGAAGCTACAACACCAATGCGTCAGACAGAGCCCAACTAACTTTCAAAACCTGCTAGCCATTTTTACATTAGGCTTTTCAGGTGTGTTGTAATCAGCAGGTCTCTCTCTAAGCAAGCAGCAGCAGTGACAACATCCTGTCTTTTCTTATGAATCATGCTGATTATGATCTTACTTCTCATTTTAATCTATGCCGCTTGATATAAAATCTACCTGCTATTTACTAAACCTCTAACTGAGTATGTGACAAAATGAAACTAAAAATAAATAAATAAATAAAGCTAATTGTTAGTAAAACATACATAAAATGTTGCTAATCTTCTTTTGAATATGTTCGACTATTATAGGTGTAAAATATTTAATGCTATAATATTTAATGTTTATTTTATATAATTAACAAAAATTTGAAAACTCCATAGCATGTAATAGCTTTTCATTTGTTTCTTGTAACTTAACATTTTAATCCTAATTTGCTTTTGTTATTTATGTCATTTTATTAATAAAAAAATTGTGTAGTGATGGTTTTCTTTAATTTTTTGTAGTGATTGGTTCATCATAGAATCATCATGCCTTGTGACACACCACCCCCACCTCCAGGATTAGGAACAGCTGATGGAGATGATATGGATGAAGGTTTCTTGTTCTTACTTGTATTTTAAATGCATTTTGAATATGAGCATTCTAAAGTTTCCATTCCTGGGATTTCTGATACTGACTCTTAGCAAGTGTGATTAATAATGATTTGGCAATAATTATTGCTACTTGGGAGTTGGGAATGCTTTCAATATGCAATTATCAGTAGTAACCTGAAATCATACTTACAATTTATTGTTTTAGTGTAATTTTTCATGAAACATTTATAGATAAATTAGCTATTCTCTTTGCTCTATTTATAGATAAAATAGCTATTCTATGTTCATTTATTTTGAGATATTATGCCCAAACACAGTTTTGTATTTTGAAAAGCAAGGGGAATTTAGTGATTTCATCATGGTGACCTTTTACTCCGTCACTTTGAAGTATTTCCTTTTTAATGAAAATTTTGCACAAAATATTTCTTTTTACCTGCAAATTTTAATTTATTGACATTTAAAGAAATAAAAAAATAAGATTAAATGTCTGTAGTGAGGTTATTATGGTGTTGGTGTATTTAATTATGGCAAAGCACACTAGCGCTATCTGCCTAAGGGAAGGGATGCCTTTCGTGGAGGACTTTCTAAGGGAAACTGGCTCGTATACACGTTACACATGGGGAAAACCACGAAAACGCCCATGCAGCCAGCCCGTTCGCGGGATTCGAACCTCGGACCGAACTACCAGTGTTCAGCGTCTTTACCGCTCGGCCGCTGGTGGGCTCCAGGTTATTATGAAAGTATAAAAAAAAAATCCTTAAATTGTCAAATTTACAATGGTATTCATTTTTTTTTATAGGTTATTATGAAAGTATAAAAATGAATACCATTGTAAATTTGACAATTTAAGGATTTTTTTTTTTTTTTTTTTTGTGTGTGTGTGTATTTACAATGTTTATATTTTATTGTTATTTCATAATATGGATTATTTATTTACATGTCAGTATTTATTATTTTTACTTTGCAAATTTCTTTTAGAACTGATTTTATCATTTAAACCTTTTATATGTAATCAAAAAAGCTGTAGAATACATGGAGAGTAATACAGTCAAAAGTCTTTAATCTGGATGTCCATAATCCGGAATGATCTATAATCTGGACCTCAAAGCTACAAACTTTCTGCACATGTGTAAATGCATAATGCATTTACTCATGCACATAATAAGTTTACACATGCGCGTTTAATGTATAACGGATGGTATAAGCTAAAATTATCTAATTATCTATTGCAGTTAATGTTGCAGATTGCGTTGTTCCTTAATTTTCTAATTGGATCCGGCTTATTATTTTTTGCAGACTGTTATAGCAATTTTACAAAAGTAAGCTTGAATTTCCGATTCTGGAGCTGCCAAAGGATCTACAAAGTGAAAGCATGTTTCGATGTCCATCAAACAAAAAGTGGAATTGCTGCAAAAAATGGTTAAAGGCATATCCTTTGTTTTTCTAACCATGGAAATTGATCTGTCGGCACTATCCTTATCTTCAGGGCAGAAGTTTTTATTTTATTCGGCTTATAATTCCTTACTAAATGTAGTATTTCATCTCGATGTACTCCGTCTTTGATATGATTTAAATGATATTCCTCGTCATTATAAATATCATGAATACACATCAAATAGTTTTCTGGTTGCAATTTTCTAATTTCGACTATGCGTAATGTATGCTTTACGCATGCACTCATTGAAAGAAATGTTAAATAAAGTAAACAAATAAATATTAAGCTTTTTTTTTTTTGTAAATTTTGATACCCTTTAGATCATAATTGCTCTTTATTTCATAAATTACGGTTTCATATTTTTTATTTTATAATTTCTGCATGCCATCTTAACAGATTTAAATTGATGATCTATAATCCGGAATCGCCGAAGTCCCGACGAGTCCGGATTAAAGACTTGACTGTAGTTTGTTTGGTGAAAGTATGCTACTTGGTATTTGGAGAGCAGTACCAAATGTAATCGGTCATGAATATTTATTTCCAGTTAAAAAAAAAAGCTGTTATGTATGTGGCTGTATCACCATTATTTATATTCTGTTTTCGTTATCTTGCCAAAAAAAAAAAAAAAAAAAAAAAAAAAAAAAACTTGCAAATGCAGAAAAATGTTTTCTTTGCTGATTTAGGTAAAGAATAAGAACCTCTTTTTTATGGGCATTTAATATCAGTTTTATACCCATAAAAAAGAGGTTCTTATTCTTTACACAAGCAGATCTTCCCCATTTAAAGCATTTTTTTTGGGGGGGGGAGGGAGGAAGACATGCTGTGCTTGATTTATGTGTAAATAGGTATTTTAACTTTTTTTTTTGGTGACTACATAAACATATTAAAACATCTTTAGTTTAAAACTTTGTGTGGAGCATTGAAAATATTAAAAATGGTAAGAGTGTTTGGATGAATATGTTGCAAATTTAAGGCGAAAACTGCTAGTCGCAGCCCAAATGTAATAAGATATGATAAATGAATATGTATTTGTCACATATTAGCTGTTTCATGTGAGAGTTACATGAAATTTTAAGCAATTGTTATAAATGTTGTACTTGATTTGGTTTAATTATGGCAAGGCATTCGAGGGCTATCTGCATGAGGGGAGAAATGCTTTCATTGAGGATCTTGTAAGGGAACTGGCTCTGTCTATGTTACACAAAAGGAAAAAATCTGAAAATGAAGGTTCATGCAGTTCATTTGCTTACTTCAGAATGCAGCTTATTCGAGACAAGCAGATAAATAAAACAGAATCAAAGTTGTTACCTTATTAATGGCTAATCCATCTTGCTATATCTAAGAAGCACAATCATTATTATTAGCACAAAAACATATTTATTAGCTATGAGAAAAAGTAAATTGTCTGATGATGTTACAAGCGTCATTTGCTATCCATGGAAAATTTTTTAAAAATGAGTCGTACAAGGAGAGAAGTCTCTCCTTTTTTGGATCGAGTCCAGTTCCAGTTAGTGGGGGTGAGTAAAGGTACTGGTTAATCACTTTCGTTTTCAGTGGCGATTGCTCCACAATCTCCCACTCAATGAGCTGTTCATCCAGAGCAAGACCAATTCCTTTTAACAAAAATTCTAGCTGTTGTCTGGGCAAGGGTTTTATGAACATGTCTGCGTACATCATTTTGCTGTTTCAGTGTTGTAATTTCATAATGCCTTGGTTTTATAGATGACAGACGTAGTGATATTTTACATTGATGTGTTTGTAAACTTGTCCCCCTTTTTTTTCTGGAAAGAGTTATGCAGGATGTATTGTCCTCGAATATGATGTTAGCATCCTGTTGAATGCAGCCTAAATTTTCCATCCACTGTCTCATCTATTGTCTACATTCCGACCATGCCCAACTCTACTCTAGCCATGTAGGCAGACGATACAGCAATCCTAGCCAAAAGTGCATTTGTTAGCCCAGTTATACAACGATTCCAAGCACACATCCATACACTTGACACTTGGCTCACTAAATGGAAAATTTTAGTGAGTGTGGATAAAACACAGGCTATCCTGTTCACAAGGAAAAAGAAAATCTCAATTTCTATGGAACCTCAATCCCGTGGGCCAAGTAAGTCCTTTATCTTGGGGTGATCCTCAATAATTCACTCACATGGACCCCATGCATTGCATTTATTATCTAAAAGTTTTATGCTCGTAAAGCTCGACTTTACCCCTTGATTGCTGGAAACAGTGTTCTATCAGTAGATAACAAGTTACTCATTTCCATATTTCATCCCATGCTTTGCTATGCATGTCCAGACTAAGCATGTGCTTCTAAAAGTAATAGAAAAAGGTTGCAGACAGTGCGGAACTGTGTTCTGCGGCAGATCCTAGGTGCCTCGTAGTACCTTCATAATAACCAGATCCATGAGGAACTAAATATTGTTAAGCTTAGGATTCGTTACTATTTTCTTGCGAAAAGATTTCATGAGAGGCAGAGGTCTGTAAACAACTCTATTGTTAAAATCTGTTCTTATGATTACAATGATTTAGGAAATAGTAATAGGTCAATGGCTGTCCTCAACAACTATATAATGTGAAATTGTATTCTTTTGTTATTTATTATACCTACATATCTATGTATTATTTGTTTATATATCCTACTTATGCAGTCTTCCTCCTCACCTCACTCTTGTTTATGCAAATACCTAATGTTCCAATTGACTCGTTACTGCCTATGCCATTCTATGTTTCTTGCCAAATCACCTGCTCCTTGAACTGGCTTCTGATCTGTGAATGTAGGGTGCAGGCTCATGTTTGATTACTTAATTATGATTACATTTCTTTTAATTCAGTCAGCTACAATCTCTTTTTAGTACCATCTTGTAATAATTAATGTAAGGTAAACTGTTCTACATGGGGTAGGGCCTTTGCCCCAGGTGCCTACACCACTCTCAGAATCAGACTAGTGTTTTTTATGTTATTACAGCCCCAAATTGTTGAAATATTATTGATAAATTGCCAGCATATATGCAAACCATTGCCAGATAGCTAGCAGTCCTAACTACAGTCACTTAATATCCTGTTTGTTTTCAAGAATAGTTCTGAGTAGGCCATATACAGAGTGTTTCAAAAAGAATATGCGTATTACAAAGTGTTATTTTGTCCAAACTATCTATCACTGTGCCTCGGCTTGGCTATTGGCAAAACGAATACATAGTGTAGTTTATATTAATAGCTGCTAGATGTCAGCTGTCAGCTGTTATCTGTTTTGCATGGTAACCGTCACATGTTTAAACTGGCTACTCCGCAGCGGAAATCATTTTGTGTTCTCGAGTTTGCAAAGTGCAATTCCGTGATTACAGTGCAAAGACGTTTCAAGTTGAGGTACCAAAGTGATCATCCGAACGTGTGGAACATTCGCAGATGGTATCGACAGTTTATAAATGCAGGATGTGTATGTAAAGGAAGAAGTCCTGGCCACCCTCGTATTCCGACGAAAATGTTGCACGAATTTAAACTGCTTACCAACATAGTCCTTCAAAATCAACTCGTCGTGCCAGTCAGGAGTTACAACTGCT